TCTTTCTCTCCAGGAAACACTGCCTGTCTGCTCCAGAGGATCTGGCTTTTCAGCTGGCCCAGGGCAGCCCCAGCTGCTTTCAACAACACTAAGCCTGACCTGATGCTCAGTGACAGGCACCAATTCCTCTCTGCTCAGGACAACCTGAGGCAGGGGCAAACCAAAACCCAGTCTACTTCCTGCCCAGCTGCTCAGGGAGCAGAGTGAAAGCGACAGCAGGCTGCCCAGGGCCTGCGAGGAGATGTGTGACTGCTTCCCTCCTGCTCCCCAGAGCCACATGGGTCACTCTGCTGCCACCTAGCCTAGAACACAAAGGACCCCAGAGCCTGCACCACACTGGGGTAAGAGCTCTGCCCAGGGCTGCTTCTTCCCGCTGCCTCAAGTGGCTGGAGTCCATTGTAAGGGACTCTGCTCTGTGGCAGACTCCTCTGGGGGCTGGACTCAGGTAGGCCACTCAGCACAGGTGGGTTTAGAGAGCAGCCTCTCAGCCTGACACAATAGGCCTTTCCCTGAGCCCTGGGCCAGCTCTTCTCCCCCAGGACAGCCTCCACCGCCCCATCCAGGGTTTTGCCTCTGCCAGGCCCACCCAGCTGCTCCATGGGAGCCCCACCACTGCCACCCGAGCTTCCCCAGGCCCAGCCGCACCTCAGGCACCCACCCCATAACCCGGGCATCACAGGGTCATCCCTTCCCCAGAACCCGCTACTCCCTGCTCACCCCCCAGGCAGATCTCCTGTCCCCCGTGCTGGGGGGGCCTCCACCTGCACTCCCTGCTCTTCTTCCATCGCGGCTCCCCCCACCGCCCTCCCAGACCCCAAGGAGAGACATCCCATGGGCGCTCCCCACCCTCCCAGAGGCTCGTCCACACCTTCAGCCCCTCCCTCACCTCCGTCGGCGAACTCCTCCCGGAAGAACTCCACAGGCCCCGCCGCCGCCAAGCCTAAGAGGCCGCACAGCACCAAGAACGGGCTCATCTCGACGAGTCCCTCGCACGACTCCAACCCCCTTAAGACACTACGAGCCCTAGAGGTGCCTAGACACTGCAGCAGGCGCAGTAGCAGCGACAGCTTTTATATGGGGGGCCGGTCCGAGCCCCGCCCTGCCGCTGCCTCATTGGCCCGCGGCCCCGCGAGCCGCGCACCCATTGGCCGGCGCCCCACAGGGCGACTCCGGAGGCGCCCCCGAACGTTAGCGTCCCAGATGGCCGCTTCCTATTGGTTGCAGCGCCAGGCCAATGAGGAGCAACCACGCGTTCGGTGGAGACACCTCCTCCCACTCTGCCTGATGCGTCACCTTTGCTTGGCAGGTCACATGACTAGCTGGGGCGCCTTAAAGGACCAGCTCAAGGTAGACTGTAGTCTCCACCTCTCGCAGTTCACCTGGGGTGGAACAGAGAGAGCTGGGAGAAGCCGCCAGCCCATAATAGTCGCAATAAGCCCTGAGGTGGGGAGGAAGCAGTGAAATCCCATGTGGGATTCTTAAATCCCATGTGGATTTCACTCCCCTGGAAACAGGCCTAGAGCTTAATTTTGCCATATGCGAGATGCTCTGCATCCTGATCTTGTCATAAAAAACATAGGTTAAACTGGGGGAAAGGAAGGGAATCCCGGCTCTAATTTGTTTTTGGCTGGGGGCGGGGCCTACCTTTAGGAAAGGGGAGGGGTTACCTGGACTCCTGGGTTCTATTCCCTGGTCCTAGAACACCTGTGGTTCTTTACCTGGCTCTCCCACCGACTCTGTTACATGCCTTAAAACTCCAGGTACCTAGGACTAAAACAGATATTAAACAACCCACCCCCCTCCCCCCACCAGCCATGGACAGACAGGGACAAGAGCCACAACCATCTCAGGCATTATGAGTGCCCTCCACCAGCACATGGGAGCCAGTGCCGGGCTGCTCACCACTCCCCTTGACAATCTCCTCCTGGCAAAGCCATCCTTAAGGTATGGCAAATTGGGGCAACTGCCCTGGGCCCCGTGCTTTGGGGGGGCCCTGCAGAGCCAAGCAGAGAAGCCGTGACCCCTCCTGCAGGGCCCGCCTGGAATTGGCGGCTCAGCCCAGCACTGTGGAAGAAGCACGGAGACCACCCCCTCCCCCCTTTGCGGGGGTACCACAGCTCCATGTGTTAAGGGGGCCCTGCACAGGATGATTTGCCCTGGGCCCCGCACCCCCACTAGGGTTGGCTCTAACCGCTCCCCTGGCACTTCATTCCACCTTAGAGCCCCTGTTATCTCTTCTCTGAACATTGTGTGCTGCACCCCAGAAGCAGCTTCATTTCAGGTGGCGATTCAAATGTTTTCAAAATCCTTATGAATCTTCTAAAGCCTGAAAGAGGCAAGGAAGAGGAAGACTCCTGGTGATTCACCTTTCTGAACAGCCTGGCAAAGGAAAGCAAACACGAGAGCAGGCCCTTGCCAATGCTGTGGGCCTGGGCCCAGAAGTAACACACGGCAGAGAGATAACAGTCCCAGCAACAGTTATGTCTCTTATGTAATCAGCAGCATCTGGCAGGGCACCAGGACACAGACCGTTGAAACCTGGTAAGTGATCCATCTGCCCCTCCCTCCCCCTCCAATAAAATGTAGCACCCATTGGGGTAAAACACAGCAGCTGTTCTTGCTGGGATGGGAGATGTAGCTGGTGTTGGGGGTGGAGTGGGGCAGCTGTTGCGTGGTCAGCAGCGATAAAGTGACAGAGGATTTGGGGAGACCTGGGAATGCAAACACCACCCACCCCATCCATCTCCCCTATAGACCCTTCCAGGCCTCCACAGTGGTGGTGACACCTGTCATCCATCCCACCATGGCTTTGGACTCCTGTCTCTCCATATTCCTCCTCCTTTCCCTTCCTCTCTCCCCTTATGCTTCTCTTCCTGCCACAAACCTGTCCTAGATATACCCCTTCCCTCCAGGAACCCCTCTCTGGCCCTGTCAACAGGACCTATCATTTTGGGCATCTGCCCCAGTACAACCATGTCTACAGTGGACTTTTGGCCTCAAGTGCCGCCCCCCTCACTAACCATGGCATCACCCAGTGACAAATGGTTCTTGCTTTTGCAACCCCCCGGTCAGTTAGTGCAGGGACCAGAGCTCAGTGGGGAAAGGGGCAGGGTGGGTGCATAGTGATAGGAGGAGGAACGGAAAAAAGGAAGTGGCTGGGGCCTGGGGAAACGGGGGCACATGGATCCACTCCAGACAGCACTAAAGACACAGTCCCAGATGTGAGCAGCTCTTAGCACATGGGGGGCAGGGGGTAGAATTGGGAGGGCTGGGACTCAACCCCTGGGGTATGGCTGAAGTGATGGATCTGGGGATCAGGACTCCTAGGTTCTGGGCTGAGAGCTGGGTGTAATGATGAAAGCAGGGTGGGGGTGGGAGCCAGGGTGCCTGGGTTCTGTCCCCAGCTCAGAGAGCACAGGTCTATGCAAGGGTTGCAGTGGTAGAGCAGATCAGATCTGTTCCTGTACCCCCAGAGGCATGAGTTCAAGCCTGGCTCCCTTCTCCTATGAAAGCTTCCTGCTTCCCCATTGCTGCAGCCAGCTCCCTTCCCTGCACCCTGGCTCCCAGCTCTAACTCCTTCCACCCCCCAAAACCCAGGGATCCAGAAATGCAGGAACTGGCTTCCACGATTTCATGCATGGAGCTAAGGGAACTGGCAGAGAGGCAGCATGTTCATCTGGGTCCACACCCTGGTGCTAGGATCAATCCCAGGAAATGGGCTGCAGAGTCCAGGAGCTCCTGCCTCTCATTCACCTCACCCTGCTGGACCCCAGGGGTTCAGATCTTGATTTCCACTGCAGGGGGACACATGGGAACAGGCCCCCTGTCCTGCCATAGTGCAGCCATGCGACCCTCTTCTTGATGGGTAGGGGACTGGCCCAGCACTCACACCCCAGCCTCTCATTCTCTCAGTGAGTGTCAGAGGCCTGGTAATATGTCATCAGGAAGCAGGCCCCCAAACTCACTGAGTCAGGGGATGCTGCCACCAGGAGGCATCTGAGAGGAGTCAGGATCCAGCACCATGGGCTCTGGACTCCCCGGCTTGGGTCCAATTCTGTCTAGAAACAGAACTAGGCCTGTTAGATCCCAGCACTCCTGGGCCGGTGCTGCCCCCAGACCCAGTTATCTGAGTAGGTGACTCTTACCCTGCACCAGGGAGTCCTGGGGTGGCTCTGGACCGGCCCCATTAGCTCGTCATGGGCACCTTCTCAGGCAGCCCCATGGATCTGCCTCCATACAAAGGCAGAGGCCACTGTGCCACAGGGCTGGGTGCCTTAGGGCTGTGGTTTCCACAAGGACACCAGGTTAAGATCCACCCTCACAGAGCTAGGATCCCTCCTGGGGAAGGGCAGGTGGGCTGTCACCCCCTCAGCTGGATCCAGTGGGGCAGGTTTTAGACTCTCACATTGGAACAATCTCCTCTCTGCTGCCTCTTCTGCCCCTCCTGCTTCATGAGAGGCCCTGCCCAAGCCAAAGTGGAGGTCTATCGGCAGGGGTGGGAACTGTCATAATTCTGCTGCTCTGGCCCTGGCTGGGCTTGTCTGTCCTGTGTAGGTAACACCAGTCCTTAAATGCCCCTGTAACTCATTAACCCACTCGTAAAGCAAGCTGCAGTTAGTCCTGAGGTAGAATTACACCAGCCAGGAGGAAAAAGTCTCTAGTGTGTTGTCACCTGTAATTTATATGGCAGTAAATAAAATGCTGCGCTCTGTGCATCCCAGTGGGGTGTGCAATCCTGGCTATAGCTGCTAGCAGCCATGCGCAACTGTGTGTGCAGGTAATTGTGCACATGTGTAATTGTGCAAGTGCAATTTCATGTGTGTATATGTGCATTTGATCACGTATAAAACCTGCTCTAACACCCACATGCCTCATTTCTTCAAGGATCCCACACCTTGTCTCTACCCCAGCTACCTCTAGGACTGCCCTTAGATGACTCATTCCTAGACGACAAGCTGTTGTGACCTTACAGTAAGTCTTACCACATGCAGCATTTTTAAGCGCCATGTTCCAGAGTCCTGGGATCATACGCAATCAACAACTTGCACAGAAGGAAAAATAACTCTCTAGCCATTGTAGCGGCAGAGGAACCCTCAGCTGTGTCATGTGATGGCCCCAGACAGCCCTGAGATGAGAAAAGAAAGATCAAGGATTAAATCCAACACTTCCTTGATTTACTGAGTCCTGAAGCTGACCCTGTTCTGATCTGTTGTCAGCTCCGTGGCTGCCCTGGCTGGCACTTGAATAAGCCACCCCTTCTCCATCAGAAGTGTCAGGTGTTTCAAGAGCACCTGTATGATGTCATACCCTCTCATAGCACCCAAGATGCCTATCCCAGGATCATCACTACAGTAACTAGGTGCCACACACTGTCCTCCTGGTGCTTGATCCATTCTTACGTGTCAGTCCCCTAACCCTGTGACCATGGTGACAGACGGTTGACTGCCTGATATCCTCCGGGTGTCTCTCACCTGCAGAAGAGGCCCACTGTCATGGCAACCTAACACCTCATGCTCTCAGCTGTTTGGTGCAAAGGAGTTATACAGGCACCAGGACAGGCCATTGATCCCTGCCCTGTTACTGGGGTGAAGGCCTACACTTGCTTTTATGCCACGTGCACACCCTGGGTGTGAAGGAGGGGCCAGTTGCCATAGTAACCAAACATCAGCTGACCTTTCACTGCTGAACTGTATCACTTTGGGAGTTCTTGGGACCCCTTCAGGAAAGGGAGCCGGGAACCATCTCTGGGTAGCTCCAACTCCACCCCCGCCAAATATCTGGGATTATGGCCTCAAGGGCGGGGCTGGGGTTGCGCCAATTTAAAACGGCTGCCCCATTGCCGCCCAACGTGCGCCACACCCAACATGGCGGCGGCCGGGAACGGTGTGCAACACTTCGGGTGGCTGCATGGAAACCCTGCGCCTTTCCGCCACTCCCAAGATGGCGCCGGTCACGTGCCTCTCCCTGCTCCCTCCCTCCACCACCGTGCTTTGCCCTCGTTTCTCATGCCACGCTCTACATGGCGCCGCTATGGCTCCTACGCCCCGAACATAACTTGATCCAAGCTTCTCCTACCACGCTGGGGACGTGCCGCCGCCTCCCTTGCCACACTGAACATGGCTGACACCGCCCAGAGGAGAACACCCCACTTCCTCCGGAAATCAGCTAGGGCGGCTCTCTTCCGGGGTGAGAGGCTGCTACTTCCGTTCCCTCCCTTCCGCCGCTATGTCGCCCACCATGGAGGATGGGGCCGGCGTGGCCGAGCTGCTATTGCAGCGTCTGGACGGAGCGGGTGACGACGACGACGGGCTCTGTAGCCTGGAGGCGGCCGCCGCGCTGGGCCTGGACCACCAGCTGCTTGTGGGAGCTGTGAAGAGTCTGCAGGCGCTGGGCGAGGTTGGGGGACTGGCAGCAGGGGCGGGGCTTTGGGAAGCACTGCGGATGGTGTGGGGGGTTAGGCTGTGGGGCGGGTCCCTTTCTCTCCACTTCCCTCCACTCTGGGGTTGATGGGAAGGAGCCCGTGGTGGGGCAGGGTGGCTATGGGGGGCTGGCTGCTGCCGTCAGGGCAGTGATGTGGTGTAAAAGTCCATGGGAGGTCTGTCCTGGCTTCCCCTTTCTGAGCTGGGACATGTGGCTCCCAGCTAGCCCTGGCCCTGGACTGTGGTAGCTCTGTTGTATGACCATGAGGACCGTGGGCTGGAGGGGCCCCAAAGGAACTGTGACCCCCAATGCCTGCTTCTAGTTCCCTGTCCACTACTCCTCCCTCCCTCCCCCCCCCCCTTGCATCTAGCTTGTCCTCAAGCATATCCAGTAATGGAGATTCTCCCCCTTCCCAATCCCAGTGTCTTGCTGGTCCCTGTCCCTGAGGTCTGGATCGTGTTACACCCCAGGCTGGGAGCCCTCAGGCTTGTTTCTTGGGCTGCAGTGAGCCCCAAGAGCCTGCTACCTAAGGCCAAGCACCAGAGGCGCATAGGTGCTGCGAGCAGGAGTGCCAGGGCCCAGAAGCAGAGAGGGGTGGCATCTTGTGCTCCCCAGTGGGACTCCATGGGGCATGTTAGCTGTTCTGGGGCTTGTGGAGCTTCTCCTGAGGCCTCTGGCTGGGACCCAGCCCCCTTCCCCACCCCCTGCAGGTCATTGAGGCTGAGCAGCGGTCATCCAAGCGCTGGGAGCTGACGGCTGAGGGGACAGAGATCGTGCAGGATGGGAGCCATGAGGTGCACGTCTTCAATAGCATCCCGCCTGAGGGGCTGCCCCAGAGCCAGCTTATGGTGAGGTTCCCCTTCCTCTATTCCTTTCTCCTCTCAGCTCCCTTTTGGTTTCTTCTGTGTAGCCTTTTTGGTGTTTTCTGTGTCAAAACATTGGATTTTTCATGGTCTTATGGTTAGGATGTCTGATTTGACTGGCATCAGAAAGGGGAATGTGGCATAGTACAATAGTATGACTACAGGGGTTGGAAAGATGGACACATGGGTTTGCTTCCCAGCTCTGCAAGAGGTGGTTGAAAGCAGGGGAAGCTGGGAGCCTGAACACCTGGGTTCTTTTCCTAGCTCTGAGAGGGGATGGTATCTGGTTGGGGGTGTTGGAAGCCCAGACACTTGGGTTATGCTCTTCCTTCTGGAAGCCAAATGGACTCTGGTCAGCAGAGCATGGCAGGACTGGGGGTCAGGGCTTCAGGGTCTCTTTCCCATTTCTGTCTGTCTTTGTGCTTCAGTTTCCGTATTCATAAAATTAACAGAACCTTGATGGGGAGAGGGACACCTAGATTGTGAAGCACAGGCAAGTGCTTGTGAATCACTGGCAGGCAGCTGGCTTCCCCTTCTACCATCTAACCCGCTGGGAGGGTCCTGGCTCCCCCTATCTGGCTCTGCCCTGACTCCTTGCCCCCCTGTGTCTCTGCAGGCACTTCCCAGTGCGAAGGTCGGCTTCAGCAAGGCCATGTCCAACAAGTGGATACGGCTGGACAAGGCGGCTGAGGGGGGGCCCCGCGTCTTCCGTGCTGTGAGTGGCCCTTACCTGGGGGGGTCCCTCACAGAGCAGTTCCCTCCTGCCCTGAGCACAGGATGGGTACTGTAACTCCTAGGCTGCACCTTTGACCCCAGCCTTCCTCCCCTGTAGGTGGAGAATGTGGAAGACTCTGTGCAGGAAAAGCTGGAGCAGGTGCAGCGGGGCAAGGCCGAGAGCCTGGATGAGAAGGAACGGAATGAGCTGAGGAAGAGGAAACTGCTGGTGGAAGTGTGAGTGTGTCCTGTTCCCGAGATCCTGCCCTTCCACCCTCCTATCTTGCATCTAGCAGTCAGGGCTGCACTGATCTCTTCTCACCACTGGGAGGCAGCACCCGCTGCTTCTTTTCTCTGCCATGCTGAGCACCCACAGGCCCCCCTTTGCTCCCCTGTCCAGTGGGGTTCAGATGCTGCCCTTGGCCCCTCCCAGCCCCCTGCCCAGCTGGAGCTTTCCTTTGCCATGTAGCTTGTTGAGCTGCCCTTCCCAGTTTGCCACATTAGTGAGGGGCAGCAGTGGATGCTAGGAGCTGAAGACCAGTGGGCTCCCTGTAACCTCATTTTCACCTCCTTTTCCAGGACCCTGAAGAGCTACTGGATCCGGAAAGGCAGTGCCTTTAGCACCAGGCTTGCCAGGCAGGAGACAGAGTTGACGCCTGAGATGATCGCCAGGTAAGCCCCGAACCCCCCTGTCTCCCCTGGCCCCAGAGCCTGGCGTAGAAAGGGTTCTGCCCACTCCATGCACCTGGCAGAGCCATGGGTTCAAGTCTTGCTGAGTTTAGAAGTCCATGTTTCCTGTGGTCTGGTCCAGTCTATAGGAACCGTGGGATTGCCCAGGTCTATTTCAATGATCTTACTCTTATGTGCTGCTACCCCCTGCCCCAGAAATGGCTGCATTTTGGTGGGGTGGGAAGGGCTTGCCACCAGCCCTGATACCTCCACCCCACCCTTCTTCATCATAGCGGGTCCTGGCACAACCTGAGCTTCAAAGCGTACAACTTTGCAGCACTGGGGCTGCCCCCCAACAGCGGGCACCTGCACCCACTGCTCAAGGTGCGCACCCAGTTCCGGCAGATCTTCCTAGAGATGGGGTGAGTGTTGCCAGGGGTGGGGGAAGTCATCCTTAAGCCTTCTAAAGCACTGGGGCACGGCGGGGTTTGCCACTGACAGTCCAGGGCTGGGGGGGGGCTCCCTTTTGTCCTGCCTTCCAAGGCTGGATGCCCAGATACCTGGGTTCTATCTGAGGTCTGGGAAGGAAGCAGGATTAGGGGGAAAGCTGCTAGAGCAGAAAAGCTGGGAACCTCAGTATCCAAGTTCTATCTCGGGTCTGGGGCAGGGGATAGAGCAGGGAGACTAGGATCCAGGACACTTGGGGTCTATTCAGGGTTTAGGTGGGCTGGGGCATTAAAGCAGGGGGCCTGGGAGCCTGTCTGGGTTCTATCTGGGGTCTTGGAGGGGGTGGAGGGTTAGAGTTGTGGTGACTGGGAGCCCGGGTACCTGGGTTCTCTCCCCAACTCTGTGGAAGTGGAGGGCAAGTTGTACCCCAACCCTGCTGACCATCCTTTTTCCCCCATTTTCCCACCAGCTTCACGGAGATGCCGACCAATAACTTTATTGAGAGCTCGTTCTGGAACTTCGATGCCCTGTTCCAGCCGCAACAGCACCCAGCACGTGATGAGCACGACACCTTCTTCCTGCTGGGTCAGTGCCCCCCCAGTGCTGGGGTCCCTTACTCTATAGGGTGTGCCCTGAAGCAGTGAAGGGCTCAGAGCTGGGGGTGGGGGCCCTCTGTCATTCCTCACCCC